TTTACAGAAAGGATTTCCAAACTGCGCGACATAGCCGCTAAATTTTACGTAGCTGTCGACAATTGACCAGCAGATTGTTTGGTGTGCATCTCTATGATAGTTTTCCAGGCGACACAACAACTGGATTAACAAATTTCACTGACCTGGGGTCAGGGCCGAAGGTCAGATCCGGGCACTAACAACCTGTTTCATTACTCGACGCTTATTAATGCAAAAATCAAAACAGTTCTTTAGTATTTTGGTGACTATGACCTTGGAAAGTTCGTGCAAGGTTAGTGACCTTACGTGAGCACCAGTGACCTTTTCCTTAGAGCAAATATTTAGGTCCGCGGTGGTTGCATGAGAAGGTCTGGATCAGTTTGGACATATGCCTGGAACATGATTTTGTGTGGCGTTATTTAACCCGAAGATCGCGATCTAGGAACCTCAAGCTGTGACAAAAATACCTTTACATACAGGCCAACACACCCAGTAAATTTAGTGTTTCTAAGTCCTATTTTTTGAGACCTCGGGGGGGGGAGCAGATTCACCCCCACCAAAATGAAGAGCATGCAACCGGCCACCCAGGCGCGGGTTAATCCGACTGTGGAAAACATGTCCACATGTATCTGTCCAAACGCGATCCATCTGGCCAGTTTGCCCTTGTTTGGAATTTGGCCGGATGCCGATAATCTGCCGGATGTCGGATCCGCTGGCAAATACTAGGCTGGTGTCGACCTGACCCGTGCGGCCGTGCCGAAGTGCCGGACGGGACGTAAAACCCGTCGTAGCTCCCTCTGAGAGGAACGTCGTACGGAATATCTTGCCATAAAGTGGATCGGCTTTCTTTAGATCATAAACTGGGCGTTGCAGTCAGCTGACAGGCAACAAAGTACGCTTGATATTGGTCATGGGTATAGCACCCTGTGTAGTAAAGCATGGCATGCAACATTTCTGCTATCGGGAAGGTGAGGCGCATCAATGCAAACTCAACAAAGGAGAGAGGAATACAGCGTGTTGGAGCCCTGGGATAAAATGGTGGGATTAAAAATGGCAAAGTCCAACTGCTCGCTTTGGTTAATGTCGGGTTGCTGCGATAATTCAGCATTTTCAGTGAAATGCTTGACATAATTTGCATTTTGGCAATGATGAATTTTGCTGTCAGCGGAATGGAATAAGACCACATAACTTGTGTCATTAGCCACCTTCTAATCATATCTGAGCCCACTACCGGCATTTCGAAGCCGTTTGGTTTTCACAAACGGGAAAATCAGAACAACCAACTGCACCTAGCCTTCACAGACACTTTCAGGCAAGGCAAGCGGAGTAGGTTGAGACCATCAACAGGATGTGAATTATATCATCTAACCGCATTTTCGACCCATGGCCACCGACATAAAACGACTAATGCACCTTACATGAGTCTCCATATGGGTGGTGTCATGCGATAATTTAGGTAACGAGTCGTTAAGGCTTACAATATACAAAACATTATGCATTATGCTTTCGCTGATGTTGTCTTCTATAGAGTGGGCCAGTGACCATCTTTCTGAAATGGTGATATCGCAACAGCCTCCGCCTTCTCAGAAGTCGAGCTGAGTCAGTTACCCCGAATGACGTCATGTGACGCGATGCGTCCACAGTTCCCATCTACCAATGCAGATATGCTTGAAATAAAGAGCTGTGTACAGTATCGGATTATGTCAGGGTATGAGGGTGAAATATATCAGGGTCAGGTCACAGCAGGATAGGGTGTCATGTCGGAGGGTTGCAAGCATGTAAACGAAGCATCATTATCTGTGAGAAGTTCGGGTCAAAGGAAGTTGCCGCGTCCAGGTGAATTACTGAGCCTGATCCCGGTGCACTGGGAACAAATAAGACTGGTGATCTCCGTTGACATTTCTGACCTCAAGAAACTCTCTAACTGCCCCGAGTGCTTAATCTGAATCAAATCATAGATTTGCGTATACTTTGACCGTGATGAAAGCTTTCGGGCAAACTAATTCATTAAACAATTCATTTTGCTTTGTTGCGCAAAGTTTAAATCGCTAGCCCCGCTGTGGAATGAATAGACCTTCAGGCAATTTTATCACTTGATGCGTCATCCTATGACCAAAAATTACTTAATCAGATATCACTGGAGAGTTAATATCAAATACGTTACGGTGGCATTCCCCGTATCCCTAAAACGTGTGGCTGTTAGTAATGCAATTTTTGTTTTCATACGCAATGCGTTTCATTACATTTACTCTTGATCCCACCAGAACAATATTGTTATTTTTGAAAAATGACTTTGCTACATTGGTGTTCAGTCGAGCGTTGATCTAAACTGCCAGCATGTTGCCGACACAGCCCGAAAGCAATGTACTCCGTTGGCATTCTGCTGTTGTGAGCACTATAACCCAGTGGCGGACAGAAATAATCCAGGATTGAAGGAGCCACAGTTACCATTAAGTTTGGCAATTGTGCTTTGGACTATGGCCTGAAGATAACAAAACCGGTGAGACCATTTTCAACTGCGACAAATGAAGCTGACAGCTGAAAGGATTCCACTTTTATATAGATAAGACAGTAGCATTAGCCTTATTCCTCGAAGAAAAACCAAGAGAATGGAGATAACGTTGGGTTGATATTTCAGCGGAATGCCTTTATCCAAACAATCACTGAGGTGTGTTGCCGCTTCATACACTTCAGCCATTGTTTCGATAAAAGCATGTTGCCAAAATGTTACCCGACTATATCTCAATTCTCCTGGTTTTTCTCCAAGGAATAAGGCTAACGCTACCGTCCTACCTATGTGAATAATGTTTCTCGCCAGTGTACTGAACAACTAAGGGAATTCCACTTTTGCGTTCGATCGTCAGGTACTACGCTTCAGCTCAAACTGCTGCCGCAATTCAAGTGCCAGTGGTGAGTAATCTGCTCACATACGGCCCATGCCAGACCGATTTTGACCGACCGACCAACCGACTGCTGCATAAGGAGAAGGTCACTGCAAGAGCCGAGTACAACACGTGCATCTGAAGCAGGACAAAGCCCTTCTTTCTATATATCTAACTACAAGCTAAGGTTTGGCATCGCAATCTCTGGTCAAATCCTTTGAATTCATTGACAACCGTTCTGAAATCACCCGGCTAATTAAACGGGTCCGGTTTCGCGTGGGCCATGCGCTGTTCTGATTGGCTGATGGCGCGGCCTTGCCCCATTGGTCCATTGGTCACCGCTGTCTCGAGGGGAATTGAATATAAGGTGCCAGAGAGGCGGCACCAGCATTGCAGTCGGCGGTGGAGCAGCACAGCGGCGACCACGAGGCGATCTCCTCCCGGGACAAGCACCGAGTGAGTCTCACGCTGCTGACCTCTCAGAGTTCAGAACACACACGTGTAACAACTCGAAAGACGCTCTTACGTGTGCACATTTCAAATGAATTGTCCTGAGAGACGGACGTCTAGTGCCGTTATGAGAGTGCCTTAACACGCGCTCTGGTGGAGGGTCAAATTGACCCTCGAAGGTTTTCCAGAATGCTTTCCCAACGGCGCTGCGCAGCCGCGCCACATTTTGCATAGCTGTAGACAGTTGAATAGCGGATTGTTTGGCCTTAAGAATTTGAATGCACCTTGTAAGGTCGCTGACCTACAAGTAGGTTAAAATAAGGCCATGGATTCTGTGAAGTCAGTCTCTAGGGAATCTTTCAATTTGATGCAACAAAGGAGCGTTGGACGAGACTATGCATCTCTGAGATACTTTCTTAGGCAACACAAGTAAATGAACAAATCTGATTGACCTAAGGTCAGTTTTGAAGGTTAGGCCAAGATCAAAGCCAATCTGTTTCAGTACTTTTGGACTTGCTGCATGGGATAGTGGCTGGTGCTCATTCCAAATGTATTGATGTTATGAGGCGTATTATAGATCTTCCATGCACTTCTCAAATATCTGAACAGGTCACCAACCTAAAATGACCCAGGCCAACACTTCGTTTATAGGAACATACTAACTGGCGTAATTTTTGTCGCTTATTCAAATGCGAAACTCAAAGCAGCCCTGTACGATTTTTGTCACCATGGCCTTCGAAAGGTCAAACAAGGTCACTAGCCTTAAAGAATCTTGCGATCTTTTGCTTAGAACAGGTATCTAGGTTCTGAGGGCACTAAGTAGACCAGCCTGGAGATTAACCTTATTTGACCTTACTTGACCCGAAGATCATAACCTAGGAGCCTCAACCTTTGACCCAAATGAGTCCAGGTACAAACCAACACATCCTGTGAAGTTGGTGCGTCTCGCTCTGTTAGCTCCTGAAATCTCAGGGGAGTTCAAATCAACCCCCACCCGAGCGAATGGTATCAAGCCGGCCATGCGAGCGCATGTTCAAGTTCATTTTAAGTATTTAACAACGAAAAGTGTATATGTGTAAAGGTATCCGTGAACGGGCCTGCTTGTTGTAATGTAAGAGGCTAAGTGGACCTTTGCCATCGTATGATGTATACGAAGCTAGCTGTGAGTAGCCGCTCTGTGAAGTATTAATTACTTCTCATGATGAGAAGCTCCGTAGCAACCCAGCTGGCAATGGCACTCCCAGGTGACTCAGCTAGCAATTTTCCTTACACATGCTGGCATAAAAGGGCGTTGCTTGTGTTTTGCTCGGTTTTATTCATGCTATGAGCTGACTAACGCTGCCACTGTTTTGCAATTGATGGTTTATGTGTTGTGCTGAGCTGTAGTTGAATCACGCCTGGAAAAATTCCATTGAGAATAGGCTGTGCTGTTACACACAGCTTTATTGAGTAGCTTAATAGGATATACTGCATTTCGCAGAGTTTGGATTGTGATTGGAATTTCTTATTGCTATTCTCAGCCGCATGGATCTTTAAATGGAACGCCATGCATCAGACCAAGGTTTCATTTTATTTCCACAGAACTGAGGTTCGTTGCCTTTGGAAGCGCTCTTTACAGCTGAAATCCGTATATAGCATAGAGCTTTCTGATAATGGTCGCCCGGAAAAGTTACGCGCCCATTAGGAACCATGGAAACGGCCGAGACCTTTCCGTTTGGTCTGGTTGGCAGTCAAGCTTTCGCGGTTTGGGATCGAATGTTCGAGGATCTGTCCTGCGAACAGCAAACACATCACGGTCACCGCCATCTTGCCCTGAGCCACTACTGCGTGACCAGACGGTCTTTACCAGGCCCACCAGAGGTGGGAGGGAGGCGGGATGGTGTACTGCGGTACAGTCTACCAGCTCGGCTTCCACCAGCGGGGTGCTGGTGCAGCTTCGGTGCATATTTGGCCGGTGGACAGTATTGGCTGCGGCCTTGCTAACCCTCATGCAATGACAGGACAATCTACCCTTCAGGTGGCAGCCGTAAACCTGATTCTTACTATTAAAAAATACATTTCCAAGCAGCCACAACATAACTATGGAACATTATTCCCGCTATATGCTTCGGGCGCAGCGCACGGCACGTAGAATATAGCTGTCAAACATGATATGTTTTGCAATCGGACCATCACCCGACCACATCACTGGTCCGACTTGAGTCTGACCTTGGCTTGACCTGAAACTGGCCTGACCTTGACTTGACCTTACCCTCTGACCCTTGTCTGACCCAGACCTGCCCTCGTTTCAGGCTCATGACTCGTCACGTATCCGCAATCAGCGCCTGCACCTGGCTAGCTGCCATCGTCTGCTTCGTCTTCTGCTGGTCATTCAGCAACGCCAGCATGCACAGGGAGGACGCCGAGAGGTGGGTAGCTCCTTGTGTGTGCGAGGAAGGAGGAGCAGCTGGGAAAGTTTGGGCTTCACGTTTTGGTTTCGAAGGCAGACAGCTGTCCTGGCAACTGTACGATCCCCACGGGGCTCAGTTTAATGCACTTGTTTATGGTTTGTCATGCTTTGCAACTGGGTGTAGTGAAGTCCAACAACATCTTCGTATGATTTAAACCATCTTTGTCCACGGTATAAATAGCCGTGTTTATTTGCTATCAATGACGCATTGTGTCATAACTACAATGTTGTGCTGCTGCTCTAAAAACAAGTGGTTGTTGTCTGGTCCTACGACTCTAGCATGGTCTGTCCCATGGTTTTCTACATTTAGCAACTGCTGGTAATGTTCTCGCTGGTACGTAACACTCGTACGACATAGGACAACTTGCAGATTCTTTGCATATGAGCGGTTGTGTCACAAATAGAAAATGTAAATTCACTGTGATTAAAAAATACATGAACCTCTTTCACTGGGCTGGGGTACACCAAGGGCACCATGCAAAATAATGTATGCGCAGCCAAGAAGGGATGGGGTTCCATGTTTCCCACCCCTATCCTCGAACGTTGTATAGGACCTTAGATGGTTAGGTGTAGAAAACTTAAATAATGATAGCTAGCTTGACTGACTTCTCCTAACAAATTATGCACCCTAATTGGGATATTGAACAGCGCGAAGGAGGTCCTATGTCACGAAGACAAATTTACGTAGATTTCCACAATGTTCAATTAAATGTCAACCAAACATGCATGAGGTATAGTGAAATCTTTCTTGTTTCGGCGATTCATGCCTCATCATCTAGCATCATGTAGTGGTACCGTCCCATCATGTGTGGCGCAGTGGGTATCATGGGGCAGGCATGTTTCAGTTTACTCGTCGCACATCCTGTATGTCATTGTTCCCAGAATGCCATCCTAGATGCACAACGTTTTGATGCACACTGATCTATATCCGGCTGCGAATAATTTTCGTAATGCGGTTGATCGCATGCAGGGCCCGTTTGACGCTAATCTCCACTGTGCAGGAATTCATGGGCGGACGATGCGGAGGACATTCAGATCGACCCCTACGTCAGCGAGCTGGTCAGCCGGCTGCGCACGCTCGACGACGCAGAGAAGATCAATCTGGCCCAGTACGAAGTAGATATATATTTCCGAAAACACGTGCCACTTTTCCACCTGTACAACAAGGTGCCGGCCCTGCCTACCGCGGCAGGGTCCATATATGCCGTGTAGGTCGCCAAGGCTCCAATAGATATCGCTGCCTGCTGCCTGCCTATTCGAGCACCGTGACCTGGCCAACGGAGGACCCCGCAGTAGAGCAATAGCATTTTACCTCGGTTTTACGGACCTACCAGGCGGAATGGTTCAGATCGAGTGCGTTATTTAACTGTTTTTATGTGAGTTGCTTATCGCTGTTTTATTGGGTGATGAATGCCGTTGTAGGTGACCGATGTTCCATACGCTACATTCCTTTGATTACCATTGGGTTTTAATCTATGCTTAAAATAGGTGGCAATTTAGGCAACATGCTATGACCCGAAAGGCATACATGTTTTAAAACTATCGTCACGTGTCCTATCTCATCGGGAAACAACATACGTAAACTACCATGCGTTGCTTGAGTGGAAAACGTATAAGTAAGCAAGTTCCTGAAAATATTCCCACGGCCCAATGCAGAGAAATCAAAACACCACGAGTAACCTCCGAAATGTGCTGAGCATCCAACGCGTACCCATTCATAGCGGCAGCAAGATCACAGCTTCAACTATTGACCGGCGTCTTCCTCCACAGCAAACGCGGGCTGGACTTCGGCCTGGGCCGCGGCTTCTCGGCCACGCAGGCGCCAAGCATAAGATGGGCCTGGACGGCAGCAGCCTTCCCGGGCGGAACCCGGCCGCCGGCGACGCTCCGTCGAGTAGACGCTCCATCTGTAAACCACGACCTCTCACCTCGACCGTGCCCTCACTCCTGCGCCGGCGGTTCCGTGTAGAGCTGACGGTGCCAACTGGAATCGTCCCCAATCAGCCTCGGCGGTCCGGATATGGCAGTCACGGGGGATCAGCTGACTTCCGGCGGGGCCAGGCCGCCTCGGGTCCGTGAGCCAACTAGGAAAATGCCGGGAGCTTGCTGAAGAGGCTGGAGATGGTGTGATCCGTGGTGGAGCCGCCTGAGCTCAGCTCATCCCGCAGGATCAGCTGATCCCACTGATCCTCATGGCTGCTGCTGGTCAGTCACGTCTCCGCCGGCCCAAAACTTTGGTGGTTCGGACGAGGACGGACGGACTCACGGACGGGGACGGCCTTATCGTTTTCACCATGCCGAAACCACATGCTAAGAGTTGTGGTTTAGAAATGTGTGATGTGTACCGTTCACTTTGCTGCGCTTGACCTAGCGTCAAGATGGAGCCGTGATTTGAAACCCGTGTTTTACGTGATCAGACATCTCTGGCAGTCATCCTTCAATAAGGAGATATGGCTTGAAACGTTTACATGGTCCTAACGTCCGTAAAATCAGTAGCGACACCAATGTGCCAATGGACAGCACCATTCAAGCGCCACCGTGAGACAAATTTGTTCGATGTTTAAATCAAATATGCAGAGCATTTTGCCAGTTTATTGCAAATACAAATATCACCTTGTGGGCACTGTCTTTTAATGAATGACCATTATCATCAATTGCGACCAAAAAGAGCAGAGCTTGCATGATGGTAAGCTACGGACGACCGTCAGCTCTAAGCAAGCGTGCGGCGGAATGGCACGTCATAGCGACGGAGCACTCTTCAGCGCCCAACAACACTTCAGATGTCTCTTAGGGCGGTGATAACATGCTGCATCGTTACGATATCCGTGCTTCGGTGTTACAAGCTCCTCAACTTTAGGCCATCTGATCTTCAGTGGATCTGAGGGTCACATGATCCTGCCCGGCTGAGATCAGCCCGCACACGGGAACGGCACAGTTCATTGGCCTTTGAATACGCTGCCAAGTGCGTTATTCCACAATTCCCAAGACGGTTACGCAGTAAAGATGCGTGTATAGACGAGCACGTCCACCAGCAGACTCTTCCTGTGACTGTGACTCGCCAGCACACACTAGCAGCATTGAACAACACACGCGACATGCATATCCCATGCCACTTACTGGTGGCATCCAGCAAAGAGGAGTAGATGGAGGTCTCATTGGTCGTATTCTGCGATCTTGTAGAAATCGCAGAACGGCAAATATAATGTTGTTTTCTTCTTTCTAGTGTTAAACGTTCACTTTACATCCACCTATAATTATTTTCCCACTGTTTACACCCACCATGCGTTATATTCAATGCCCTTATTTCCTAATGCCTTTATTTATCACCGCTGTCATCTCTTTCGCGAAAGATTACCTTTTCAGCTCCGTGCATGATTAGCCGAAAAACTAAAATTATGTTGCGGAATTCCAGGTGTTGCGTGAGAGGAAAGGGGTAGACGGCCTGTTAAAAAACTAAGTCTAGATGGATCTTGGATTTTAATATCAGTGGATGTGTTCTGGCCGTTGTGCGCGTCATGGAAGAGAGCAATGTACCAGGCATGTAGTTTTCCATTCGATAATGTTTTTGACAAGTATTCCTGACTTTAACAAAAATACTGGCCAGACCCGTTGATGCCATATTTTGGGATTAGGCTTAGCCATTTTACACTGTTCATCCTTGCCAATTATTTTGCAAAACATGATCGCTGATGTAATCGAACTAATATGAACGAACGCAGCCCATATGCATTATCTGGGAGCAGACATTACCGCAACGCAATCATTATTAAGTACAAATTGCGAGCTGGTTCCGTGGCGAAGTGGAAATGCGCCTGCCATGCGAGAGGGGCTGTCGGATATGATTCCCAGGTCACGCTTGTCTCTGTAAAGGAAGTGTCACATATCTGGAATATATTTCAAAAACGTGTTTTGGTGAACTGTCAGGACCTGCCATTAACATCAGTAGCATTGGGTAGCGCAACTGCATTACCAACAGGATATTGAGCTCAAAATAGTAGCATTTATTGCGTAAGTGAAGTGCATTTGCGAGAAACATTACACATACATAAGACAATGCTGTTATCCTTATTCTTCGCCTGATAATCAGGAAAAAGAGGGACGGATGCACAAATATTTCGGCTATATGCCTCCGTCAAAACGATTACGAGCGCAAATAGAAAATGGGTCGCCGATCTCACTTGGTTTCTCAGTTGCTGCTTTTTCAACAGCGTGTTACAGTTTTTGCGGGTCACCAACATTGAGGCGGTTTAACAAGGGGCGATTGCCAGCCATTATAACGATACAATATATATATATATATATATATATATATATATATATATATATACACATACATATACCTAAGGATTACAAAGGCGTGAAAATGCGTCGCCGTCTAACCGACTTTAAATAGACATCACGCATTATGCACCACTCATACCTGGAAGCGATTTCAACTAAACCGGCATCACACATCACCCATCACTTATACCTGCAAGTGTTTTCAAGTAAACCGGCATCACACATCACACATCACTACAACCTGCATAAGATTTCAAGTAAACCGGCATCACTCATCACGCATCACTTACACCTGCATGTGATTTCAAGTAGACAACCTCGTGCATCCTGCACCTGGCATTTTAGACGGCTTTTAACAAACAATTTTAGCGAGTTTAAATTTCTTTTATTAATTTTAAGCCAGCGCGCATCAAGATTAAACGCCCTCGGGTGGGCTGAAAGTTCGTTTTGACAACCCGCCCCGAAGGCTTTTCGTAATAATTTCCGGACGGCGCTGCGTAGACGCACCAAACGTTGCATAGCTGAAATAAATTTGATAGCGGGCGCTATGACATAAAATGAGATGTACTTTGAAAGGTCACTGGCCTATAGCAAGTCAAAATCAGGCCGTGACTGTCAGCGAAGGTCATTTCTCGGTAAATTCCATTGACATAACGCTGGGGATGAAAGTGAGACCGAGGTAAAAAATATTCTGTCTTTAATACAGGGTTTCTCGTTCATGACAACTGACCGATATTGAAATGTCAGTAGCAGACTCAGTTATGATCAGGAGATGTCTGAGGAATGTCATAAGCATATGTGTTTTTTTGGGGGGGGGGGGGACACGAAAACGTATCATTCACGCTACATTAAGGTGCAGAATATGTGCGGTAGCATGCCATAAAATACAGGGTTTTATTAGAATTTAGCCATTTTCAATCCCACTGTTGTGTTTCATTGCTCCACCATCTCTGGTTCCTCAAAATTTATATCGTTGCCCCACACCTCCCAGATGACACAAATGGTACGTCCAATGCTTTGCACCAATCGTGTTACGTTGATAGTACGTGCCAAGCGTGTGTGGCTTGTCACCTTTCTCGGAGCACACCTCCCAACAGTGTCCT